GATAAGATTGCGATATTGATGATATGGTTAGATCCCTGTCCGCGGTGATTGATGAGGAGCGTGTGATGCTCAGGGGAGACGCTGGAGGCGGCGGTGAGGAGGGAGGTGCAGGAGGAGAGCGGCGTTCAGGTGGGACCCGTGCAGTACCTGTCCTCTCAGGCGTGGCCTATGCCCTCCTGCCTGATGATTGGCTGCCACTGCGTCGCCGTGACGATGGACATCAAAGCAGACCAGAACGAGATCGAAGAGGCACGCTGGTTCACCCGGCAACAGGTGAGATATTAACCCTTGTGTGTCCATTAAAAAAAAAAAAATGCTCACAAAATATTAGATATTAATATTTTTTTCTGCTTTCACTGACATGCCAAAACTACAAAAAATGCATTCATTTTCATGATTTTAACCCTTTAAATGCCAGTTTGTTTACATCATTTGTCATTTGTATTTTTAGTTATTTTAGTATATCAAGTTACTCTAAACAAAAATACAAAATGTTGCATTGGCAACTAGTTTAAGTAATATATTTTAGAAATATTTACATGTATATATTTATATTCATATAATTTATATTATATATAACATAACATATTTTTCTTAAATATATACATGCATGTGTATTTATACATACATATACATACACAGCACACACACATATATTATGTACACCAAACTTTATTTAAAAATGTAAAGGTAGTAAAAATTTGAAGCCTTGTCCACAGAATGAAAGCATATTAACTAAAGAATGCATGATTTAATGCTTAAAGGGCACTGGGATTAAATACTGCATTTTTAATGGCTTTCGATGGGGGCATTTTTGTTCTTAAGGTCCTATTTTTTGTACCTAGTATAAAATAGATTTATGAAAGGACATGAGGGGGAAATATTAAAATTCCAATAAACAAACATTTTGGGTAAAATTTATGCTGTTTGCTTTAACAGGCAAAATTATCAAAAAAGCAAAAATTAAAATGTCCCTAAATACACAAGAGTTTAAGGAATAGTTCACCCAAAAATGAAAATGTACTCACCCTCATCATCGTCTGAGATTAGGATGAGTTTGTTTCTTCATCAGGTTTGTAGAAATGTAGCATTGCATCAGTGTCTCAGCAATGGAATGCTCTGCAGTGAATGGGTGCCGTCAGAATGAGAGTCCAAACAGCTGATAAAAACATCACAATAATCCACAAGTAATCCACAGCACTCCAGTCCATCAGTTAACATCTGGAGAAGACAAAAGCTGAAACTAATCCAGCATTAAGACCTTTTTAACTCAAATACCATAGAGTCTATAATCCATAATAACTCTTCCTCCAGTGAAAAAGTGTTCTGGTCTGAATCAGGAGAGAAATCTGCACAGATCAAGCAGCGTTTAAACAGTTCTAAACACATATGTGGCTGGATTTTGATGTGAGAGACAACAGCAGATGCTCTTTTTGACTGGAGGAAGTGTTATTATGGATTATAGACTCTATGGTATTTTAGTTAAAAACGTCTTAATGCTGGATGTGTTTCAGCTTTTTCCTTCTCCAGATGTTAACTGATGGACTGGAGTGCTGTGGATTACGTGTGGATTATTGTGATGTTTTTATCAGCTGTTTGGACTCTCATTCTGACGGCACCCATTCACTTGCAGTGAGACACTGATGCAATGCTACATTTCTACAAACCTGATGAAGAAACAAACTCATCCTGATCTCGGACGACCTGAGGGTGAACACATTTTCAGCACATTTTAGGCTGAACTATTCCCTGAACAGAGTGTTTACCGTGTTTCTCTGCTGTTCAGGTGATGGACGCTCTTGTGAAAGACAAGCGAGCCGTGTTCATCATGCCGCCCAGACAAGCCATCGCTCACTATCTGCTCAAACACTGGATCGGCTGTAACGCAAACCTCTGAACCGGGGTTAAAATGCTTCTTTCGTGGACCACATGAGAAGATGTGTTAATCAAATTGATTTAATGTGTGAAGCTTGTTCGATTATAGAAGATAATGCAGTAATATAACTCCAATTAGATTACTTTGACATGCTCATCTCTGACTAATAACAGAACAATATCTCCTGATTGTAACGTTGAAACAAGTATTTTCTCTGAATCTGCTTTGAAATTATAATATGCATTGTGAAAAAGGCTAAACAAATAAACTTGAATTGAATTGAATGTGCTGTTTTCTCTAGTCGACACAATCTTTAAACAGTGTAATTCCGTGTATTTCTGATGGTTTATCGTATATATGCTGCTTCTTACATGATTTGGAACACCATGACTGATATTACACAATACAGTAACTGTGAAATACAACATGGCATATTTCATCAGGCTTTGTCAACATTTTCGTCATTTACAGCCTGAGATCTTGTTTCTATAGTTCTTTACACGCAGTGGTTCTCAACCTTTTGTTTGACTTTTCTGGAGTTTATGGATTTTTTAAACAATATTTTACTCGGTTACTACCCAATGAAAGATTATAGAAAAAAAATGCATATTCAATATAAAAATGCTCAAGATTTACTTTTTGAGGTTAAGAAATCACACTTTCAAGATTAGTCTTCCTCAAATATCCAGGTTTCCCAAGAATGTTAGTAATCATGGTTCTTCAGAGTTGAAAAATGAATTAAAATCAGAAATATCTTGACTTCGTTAGTTGTTTTGTCTTATTTGAACCCTCATGATGCATTCAAAATCTGTTTACTATTTTGCATTCTGGGTCCATTTCATTACATTTTTTAATGCAATAAAGTTACCATATTACAGCATTTACCCATTTTCTTAATTAAAACATTGAACAATTCTTTGACATCAAATTACGCATGACCCACATAAAAAAAAACTGATGCAAAATGATTTTTTTTTTTCAATATTGATACATTTTATTTGAATATATCATTGTATAACATACAGTATAATCTGAAAATGTTCAGTATTATCCCCTTTGAAATGAATGGAATTTAAATAAATTCCTTTGAATTTATAACTCTATATATTTATAACTAAAATTTACCAAACTTCCATATTTATACCAAAACAACACAAATATGACTGAAACGTTTTTAAACTAAATAAATTAACTGCATAAACTTTTACTTTCAAGAGATGCATAAACATAACAAAAAAAATAAAAATAATACGTTTTTTAGTAAGGGAACAAAACTTTAGCAAATGCTTCCAGACCCTAAAAATACACTTTTTCCCGATTTTTTTATTTTTATGCATTTGGGTCATTTTTGACCCGGGTGTGTATGAAAGTCCAATTTGGGGTCAAAAATACTTTTTTGTAAAATTATATTACTGTAAATACACATTTGTAAAACATTTTTCATCTTTTCCCATCAGTCTCAATACTTTGGGACTGAATTCAGTTGATGAACATGAATATGTACGGCTATTGACGAACCATTGCAGCATGAAAAATTAATCACTTTTTCATCTGAAAGTTAAAGTTGACGCAAGTAAAATGAATTTATATTGTTAGAAAAAAACTCAGAGTAATATTTAGAAATAAATATGTAGGTTTCATAAATCTGGACTGTTTTTGAGCAATCGGGAGTTATAAATTAAAAATAATTTAATTAAATTCCATTCATTCCAATGGGGTTAATACTTGTAATTCTCAGATTTTATGTTCTCACAAATTTCATACAATGATATATTCAAATAAAATTTCTCATCGACATTGAAAAAATATATATTTATATTTGCCGTCACAGTTAAATGTTCAAATGTAATTTGAAATCTCAAAGAATTTCTCATTTTTTTAATTAATAAAAAAAGAGGTAAATGCAGTAATAACATGCATAGAAATGATTAGTTGCTCACAAGTCCTTTTAGTGTCATTTAGGTGCATGTTGATGTATGGTTTGTTAGGATAGGACAATATTTGGCAATATTTGGAAAATCTGGAATCTGAGGGTGCAAAAAATTGAGAAAATCATCTTTAAAGTTGTTCAAATTAAGTTCTTAGCAATGCATATTACTAATCAAAAATTAAGTTTTGATATATTTACGCTAGGAAATGTACAAAATATCTTCATGGAACATGATCTTTACTTAATATCCTAATGATTTTTGGCATAAAAGGGTCACATGTGTCTTGGTGAACCTTCCAGAACAACAGCAAAAATACATAACTTAAAAAAGAAACAGAGACAGAGTTTATATATGTGTTTTTGTCTCTCTGCGTGCTCACCCAGGCTGCATTTATTTGATCAAATATACAGTAAAAACAGGAATATTGTAAATTAATTTCAACGTACTGTTTTATATGTGAATTTATTGTAAATTGATATTTATTTCAGTGACGAAAAGCTGAATTTTCAGTTGTGCTGCTTGATATTTTGTGGAAACACTATCAGTCAAAAGTTTGGGATATAAAACTTTTAAAAAATAAAGAAAGAAATGAATACTTTTATTCATCGAGGATGCATTAATTTGATCAAAAGTGACAGTAAAGACATTTATAATGTTACAAACGTTTCTATTTCAAATAAATGCTGCTCTTTTGAACTTTCTATTCATCTGTGAATCCTGAAAAATAAAATGTATCAGTTTCCACAAAAATATTAATGTTTTCAACACTGATAATAATCAGAAATGTTTCTAATAATCAGCATATTAGAATGATAACTGAAGATCATGTGACACTGAAGACTGGAGTAATGATGCTGAAAATACAGCTGCACATCACAGAAATACATTACAGTTTAACATATATTCACATAGAAAACAGCTGTTTTAAATTATAATAATATTTCACATTTTTACTGTATTTTTGATCAAATAAAAAGACAAAATATGTATGTACTACTGTACAAACAAGATGATCTACATACAGATATAATTATGCTTGGGGTTATGAAAAAGAAAGGGGAAGGATATGTTAAAATAAAAATAGAAATAGTGTGTTTTGCACGTTTATATTTCTTTAGTTTTTACACAGTGGAGAGAAAAAACGAAATAAAGGTAAACTAAGTAAACATGCTGCATGCTAACTGCAGCTATCGCTCTCTGAGCCGACAGGCGGCGCTGTGACGTCACGCCGCGAGCGGAAGAAGACGCCCGCCGCCGGAAGTGTCGTGTTCAGAGAAACACTCATCATCAGCGTTACGCGTCCAAGAGTTCAGAATCAAACGTGTGCGTTTCAAACGCGAATTAAACCCCGGAGAATCTGCAGATATGGCGCATTTAACGACAAACCCGGCGGATAAAGAGCGGTCAGTTCGACGGACAATTCAATACTTTATATGTCTGATTACAACTGTAGCGTTAACACAATTCAGCTGCTAAACTCAGTGGAGTAACATGTAAATACTGTGCTAATCACTCAGTGCCGTGTGTGTGTGTGTGTGTGTGTGTGTGTGTGTGTGTGTGTGTGTGTGTGTGTGTGTGTGTGTGCGTGTGTGCGAGAGAGAGAGTGTGTGTGTGTGTTAGTGTGAGAGAGAGTGTGTGAGTGTGTGTGAGTGAGAGTGAGTTAGTGTGTGAGTGAGAGTGAGTTAGTATTATATATAAATTAATTTTTATATTCACATACACGCACACACATATTATTTATATATTGTTTCCCCGCCAGGTTTATGTGCATCTGTCCGGCTTACATCAACAGTAAAAAGACAATAGCAGGAGGCAGAAGAATAGCTGCAGAGAAGGTGAGTGTGTGTCTGTGTAAGTGTGTGTGTGTGTGTGAGAGTGTGTGTGTGTGTGTGTGTGTTTGATTTCTGTGGGTGGG